TGGTATAATTTTCCAAGGAGGTTCAAATATTAAAAGGACATCAACTGCAGCTATCCTCTGAATGTCCTTGCAAAAGTTATAGGGAACTCTAATTATAGGTCTTTTTTAATTTTAATTACAGTTACATTATATCCTTTAATATTTCTTTCAAAATGTTTCTGAATCATTGTAAATTTTTCCAGTCTGTGAATACTTGATGAATGAGTCTAAGGTTATTTGTACTAACTGAGGACATACTATCTTCAATACTTGGCTATCTGTCAATAGTATGAATATTATGTAACATGTGGATCATCAATCATTCAAGCCTATTAAACTTGCATCCTGTCTAGAGGGTCAGAGCAGGTCTATGAGGATAAAACATAAAGTTGGCTTTCAATATTAGTAGGATGCCCAACTGTTCTTTCTTGCCCAGAACTGAGGGAGTTACCAGGATTCAATAATATCAGTTTTAATACCAGGACAGTCCCAGGAAAACTGGAATAAATTGACCACAGCAAACACAAGGTATATTATCTTCAGAGAGAATATTTGCCGACATTACCAACTTAAAAGTATTTAAGGATTTTGTGTAGACCTGTTACATTTAAATCTGTACGTGGGAATAGCACAGGTTAACCCAGAACCTATTTATTCTTATATTATGAAGATAATCCTACTACCTATGTGTGATTTAATTTTATGTTTCTCTAGTACCAAAGGCCTTCAGGGATGGCCAAATACCTCAGCAGATTAAAGCACCTGCAAGCAGGCACAGGGCCAGGGGTTTGATCCCCAGGCCTGCTGTCCCAGCCCTCCTCCCAGGGATGCTGAGATGGAAATTGAGACTGGTTATGGTGGTGCATGCCTGTAATCTCAGCTCTTGGGAGGCTGTAAACAGGAGGATCACTATGAGTCTGATCTAGTAGTGAGACCCTGAACACCCTGCAGACCCTTCCATAAAAAAAATAATAATAAATAAATAAAGGCCTTCAGAGAGATAGCTTCTTCAGTATGACTGCTTATTGCTTACAGCTTTATCTAGTTAAATAGCAAAACTCCTTTGCTGCATTGTAGAAATTCAGCAACTAAAGTGGTTCCTGTGTGCACCTGGAGGTTAGTAGGAGTTCACGGGACAGATCCTGTCATCGTGCGGTGGGTGTCTCATACAGGGAGTGGCAGTGTTTCCCTCAGCTGCTTGTTCCATACTCCATGATGCACTTTTTAAATACGTATTATTTTTGGAGATTTATTTTCCTTTTTTTTTCTAGAGCCTTTACCTGGACTTTTAAATTTTATAAGGACCAAGAGTTTAATTTGTTTATATTTGTCTCTCTATGTGCCATAAGAAAAAGACAAAAGTCTTAAACTATGTGTTTAGAGACATCATATATGCAAAACTGGTAACTTTTGACTGAGAGATTAACTGAATCCCTAGACATGACAAGGGTTCAAAAGGGAAAATGTGTGAATAAGTATATTGTAAAACTAATTTTCCTCTTCATAGCATCCTTGTAGGAAAACTCGACAGTAAAGATTTCAGAATGGTGAATGATGTTATAGAGGAGGAACCTGATGAATTTCAATGATTATTTAAATATGCTGAAATATGCTTTTATCAGAAATCATCATTGTCTTTATTGGGACATAGCATCCCCACGTCAATTAAGAGTAGAAAAATGTGTCATTCACCCTCACCTGAAATATGGCCATTCTACCTTCACGGACTAAACTTAGGAGAGAATTAACTGGTGATTAATTTTAAGAACTTGAATTTTAAGGTAAGTGTAATATTTTTATCACCAACGATGGACATTTTAGACATTTAAAAGAGGATTTACTGGCTTGCTTACTTCCTATTTTAAAAATAATCCCTCAAAATTTAATTCTTTCTTTTGTACCAATATGTTAATAATTTCAGGCCTATTCATTTGTTCCTAGTTGTTCACAAGTCAGTCTCATATACTTACTAGGTCATAATCATCTTGAAATCAGGACCTGTTACTGATGCATTTTTATAGTTGTAATATCTTGGCTCAATGTTTATTTCATGAGTTTTCGATAAATAATCACTAAGTGCATTTCCATTATTCTGACTTCACTGTGATTTCCATTGTTGTATTTTGATAGTTTACATAAAGTAAACCTCATAAAATCTTACACTTTTTCTATGTAAGGATTAAAATATGTCATATACAAAGGTTATATTGGGAAAAGAATTTGCCATTGAGATCAGAAATATTTTCATTGAGCAAGGTCATTGACCCAGTTGCGTTTTATAAACTGGCAGGAGAATAGAATGGTGAGATGTGTCTGAGATATTTCAAACATAATAAAATGTCATTTTTTAGAGAAATTGATTAGGAAACCAAGCATCGTGGCACATGCCTATTCATAATCCCAGCACATGAGCGGATCAGCCATGAGTTTGAGGCTATCTTGAGCTGTATACTGAGCCTCTGTCTCAACACAACAATAGCAAAAAAAGAAAGAGTAGGAACAAATAAAACAGCAGATACTGTTTCTAAAATCTTTTCTGTTCATTTTTGATATACAAACATGGAAAAAAATATATATGGCTATGAACCTAATGCAGTGTAAAATTTAGGTTGTAAAAAAAAAGTGTTGAGATCCTGACCTTTGGATATTTGAATTTTTTTAATAAAGTCTAGCACCAGTTTTTAAATATAAGACAAGCAAAGATGCTGTCTTTTGCCAAAACTAACACATTTAAAATTTACCTGATTAGAAACCCAATTAAGTGTACACGTATTTCATTGATTTTTTTTAATCCATGAAAGTAATTTTTTGAATATTTGATTTGTAAGGAATGATTTTTAAAAGTTAATCAATAAAAGCATTGCTTGATTAATTCACTGTTCAATTTTTCTTTGAGCTCATTGCTTTTCAGTTCAATAATAGTGTTTTTAGTATAACATCCATTCACTAAAGTAACATTATAATAATTTGGAATATGTCCAAAGGAACATGACAGATTTTTTTAAAGATTCCAAAGTTGTCCCATAAGGAACAATAAAAGAATCTAGTGAAAGCCTACAAAAATAATATTTGGGATTGCACCGATTCCATATATGAAGATGATTATTTCCTCATGACAGAAGAGAAGTGTTTTAGGCAGGGAGATTAATTTATTTGAAGTTATAGAACATAAGATTTAACTCAAAATAAGAAAAAAAATACTTGAAACATACAACATGAAAGTGATCCCAAGAAGGTGTTCTTCTGAGAAGAAGGGGGTTGTGGTCAGAGATGATGCCTTGAGAACTCTTACTTTAGAAATTTTGAGAAGTCTAGGCTGGCTGTAGGAATCAGACATCCTGGCAGGCAACACACTGAGATTATGCTGTTCAGCACTCCCATGTGACACAGCAAATCAGGTGTGCTTGGCACAAATGGACCTTCGAGGTACACCAAGAAGATCCTGAACGTTTTGAATCTTTTATCTGAAAGAATCCATGAGTTTCTCACGTCTGATTTCCAAACACTAAAGTCATAGGTACTTGGATTATCCTTCACGTTCCTCTCAATGTCTTCCTTCTCTTTCTTAATTCTACTCATCTTGAGTGTTTCATTAAAAACAAAAATAGAGAACCCTGTTGACTGAGTCACTTGTAGCAGTTCTTCTAGGTGTGCTTTTGTGCAAATGTAGGCAAACCTGAAGAAGGCGAGCATGGGAGAACCTACAAGGAAGAGCAGTGGGGTTGGGAAGGTGGGGACTACAAGAAAGGAGACAACTCTCCATAGAGGATCATTTTTTTCTGTCACTACTTAGGCAATGATTCAAGAGACTTTACTGTTTGTTGGGAAAATAGAATAACTTGAAGAATATTCTAGATCACAATATAGTTATAACACTTGAAAAGTGGTTCATCCCTCTGAAGCAGTTTGTAGAAGAGGACTCAGGCTGTACTATAATCTGTCTACATAATACAGAGCTAGAATCAGAATGTATATTCTTGACTTTAAGTCTACAATTCTAATACCAGCTTGATGAATGATTTTCCTGAAATATTTTCCCTCCATCCTATGGCCTTAGGCAACTGAATCTTCTCTCGGGTATATTTTAGACTGGGGCTATAATTATGTCCAGAATCTTCATTTCACAATATCAGCTGAGATGGAGAGTTGGATTCTCAAATTGGACTATGAGCTAAAGGAGATCTTAAAGATCTCTTCAGTCAGAAAGTGTCAGATATTATTTGATAGTGAAGACCTTTGTGTGAAGCAAAGCTTTTGAAGCAGATGACTTAACTGCAATGTTGAGATGGGTATTAGGGTGCTGGACCACTGCCTGCTCCTAGCTCCCACCCCCACCCCATGGAAACATGAGCTACTCCAAAGTATCCTAACCTTTAAATATTGGATTCATTGCTTGTTTTGCAAACTACATTTTGAGTTAAAGAAAACAAAAATTATTTGAGGGCATCAAATGAGAAAACTCTGCTGTAAAATGTGCCAAGTATTAGCCTTCAAGGGTGGGTTGCAACGGCCATGACTTCAGGGGAATCCAGGGGAAAGGAATGTACAAGTATGAAGAAACTGGCTCCTACGCTGCTCAAACAAACCTTTGCAAGTATGAATTAAGTCAGGAATATAATCAACCTACCATTTTGCAGACCTTTGCTAAGAAAACAAAGTCTGTAAAAATGGAGCTATTTCTCTGTATAGTAAATTGTTGTTGCAACAGTAAAATGGTTTGTAGATAACAGCATTTGCAGCAAAGGCTTCCCCCACCACAGGATTCTGAAAAATAGCAATTAGTCTGGGCAGAGCCCCCCAAAAGGTGGAGGAGAAGGCTGGTTTTCCTTTGTGACTTCTCATGGAAGCAACATGGAATGTCAGAGCTGGAAGAGAATGAGAGCCCATGATCTGGGAGCAGGGGAACTGGGAGGAGGGGTCAAGAGCAAAGGGCTAACACTAACAGCTGCCCACCAGGAACGGAGTCCCAAGCACACGTTTAGTTGTTACCGATGCTTTTAATGATGGCATTGTGAGACAGCTCCTATCTTATGGCCCCGAGCTGGACGCCCCCTCACGGTGGTGACATATTCCAACCGGCTTCAGTGCTTCCTTCGCCCAGAATCCTTGACTGAACGTTTGCTATTGTCCTTTCTGTCTGAGAACTCCTGTTGCCCAGCAGCACTTACCAGCTTAGCGCACAAGGGTAACTCACCCTCTGGGAGAAAGGGCGTCTGTGTGCCGGTGGTGCCAATCTCCAGCACATTTTTCTTCAAATCGATGGAGCACTGGTGTCTCCTAAGCATGTCCAGTCCTAGGAGGATGTCCATTGGCTGCTCCTCGAGCACAGAGAAGGAGCACTGAAGGAAATCACCTTCGATCTGAATTTGAGCCAGATGAACACGGCCAATGATCCGCTGTGTGCCCACCCCTTTAGCGACACCGGCCCACCGCCGGTCCACGAGCCTAATTATGTTACATCTCTCGGCACAAGCTTGGCTCATAATGGTCATCTGGGCTCCTGAGTCGACAAAGGCCTTCAGGGGATATCCGTTCACTTTGCAGTTAATGTAGAGCATCGCCACCTGGCCAAAGCTCTCGGGCGCCTCCTCCATAGCTATGTTCATGTTTTCTTCGATGTTCTGCTGCCGGATTTCTTCTTCTATTTTGGCCTGAGCATCCTGATCGAATGGATCAGCAGTGTAGAGGCGAAGCCGCTCTTCTTCCCTCAAAGCTATTTCTCTTTGCTGCTCCATCAGGACCTGCGAAAATGTCTCAAGGTTTCCACTGAGCAGGGCTTCGGCTAAGACAGGGTTGCGTTCCTTCAGCAGGGACAGATCGTGAGGACTGGAAAGGAGCATGCTGCGAAGCAGCGCGGGGCTGTCCGCGCCTGCCGCCAAGGCCATCTTCTCTCCAGAGGCCAAGCCGTGGGACAGCTGGGCGGGGGAAGCATATTTCTGCCGTGGCTTCTGCTGCTGGTGCTGCTGGAGTTGGTGTTTCGGGGGCTGGCTTTGGTGCTGGCGCTGAGGCCGGGAGCTTGAAGTTCCGGGCTGAGGAACTGTACTGAGATCAAGCCGAGGCTGACTTGGAGTCCACCCCAGAGGCTGAGATGCCACATTATCCCTCTGGAGTAAGACAACAACATCACCGTCTTTGAGGCCATAGGAACCCAAGGAAGCGTGATCGTCCGTGAGGAATCGCTCCAGGTAGACGACCTGGATCTCTTCCAAGGGAATTCTGGCCTCCAGTCCACAGAGGACCTTGAAGTTGCAGAGCTCAAAGTCAGGGCTGACCTGGAGGGAGAATGTTTCCTCGGAGAGGTCCCTCCGCACACAGTACACAGTGATCAGCATGGCGGTGGCCTGGGAGGGCCAGATGGGCAGAAGCGTCAGCACTCCATGGGTCGGTGGTGGTGGTGTGGTGTTTTATGTGCTGGCCTGGCTGCTTGCAGCACTTGGTGCGTGGCTTGGGCTCGTCCACTGCTCAGAAAGGCCCAGCCGCACCTTTGTCTTCGGGCTGCAGCCCAGTCTCAGCACCAGCCACTGAGCCCTGCGGAGCATCAGGGCAGCGGCTTCATTTATGCGTGTGCTACTTGGAACTTAGAACCCCTATTCCATAGAAACAGTGACTTCTGTTAAGTTCCAAGGCCAGCCCCTCAAAACCTACTTAACACGAGACATGGAAAAGTTTATTTCAGGCCTTGCTACAGAAGAAATCTTAATGTTGACTTTATTCGTTGTACTCCTCAAACTGATGGCTTATTTGCTACATGGCCAGCATCATGCTGCGTGCTTGGTATGACAGATATATCAGACTTGGTCTGTGCCCTTGAGATTCTCCCATTCCAGAAAGGGATAGACGGGTAAATCCCAATACTGAAAGTACATGCTTCACAAAGACTTGTTTGGAGCATTTCATTTCGTATTTCCAACAGAACAGAAGAAGTTTCTCTAAGACAAGCTGGGGGTTGAAGGATGAATATGTTCTGGGTGAAAAACAAAGCTTTTTGTCTGTAGACAAAAGAATTCCTCGTACAAAAATAAAGGAAAGGTGAGACGTTCCATCCAAAAAGAAGTGCATATATGGATTTTAGTAGTAGCGTGTGAAGCTGAAGAAATTATTGAAGCCAAGTTTTTAGAAAGTCATGTGTGAAACTGAGAGGTTTGAAATTGTTCCATTTAGCAAGAATTACTTCCAAAGTAAAAGAAAAAGGAACAGCAGCTGCAGGAAAAAGGAAGAAAATGAAAGAGGAAGAAAAATCTGGGAAGGATGTGAAGGAGGTATTTCTGGATTTCTTTTCATTTAATTGACTTAGGCAAGGGGCTTCTTTCAATATAAGGAGGACGTGCAGTAGCAGGAGAGTGAATGTGAAGGCTTTCTCACTTGTTCTACAAAGGAGCTATGGTCGATAGATCTGAAGACCTAAGCAGAAAGGTGTATTTCTTAAGTAAAATGGGCAGGATATTTTTCACCCTCAAATGTGTGTATGTAAGAGAGGCAGAGTTCATGGACAATCGATGCTGTCTACACATCGAAGCAGGCCGCTGCCATGGAGGGATGAGGGAGATGAACCTTCCAAGGAACTAACTTGACGCTAATTCTGTGGTTCTCTGCCACTCGGGCACGGTGCCCACACTGCCACCCATTGAAACATAAAGCCTACACACATACCCCAGTGGAGGCTTTTAGGGCAAGGGCATTTCTTTTTCAGAGCAGTTGGCAAAAAGTACTTAAGAAGTAAAACAAAAAGGAACAGCACCTACAGGAAAAACAAAGGAAATAAAAGAGAAAGAAAAAACTGGGAAAGGTGGGAGGGAGGTATTGGTGATTTTCTTTTTCATTTAATTGACTTAGGAAAGAGGCTTATTACTATAACTCCTTCAGCACTAATTTTTCTCTACATTTTGCGAAGTGTTTTGCACTACGAGGAGCACGTGCTGCCTGTCTCTGACTTCTCCCGGGTGTGGCGGCTTATGAAACAAAAGCTCATCCACAGCTTCTGCCTAGGCTTTATTTTGAGTTGTTTCTCTGAAACCTGCACCATGATACAGAGAATGAGAAATGCATCAGCCCAAGGGATATTTTTAGCTCTTAGTTCTCTTGTGTTGATCTCAGATGAAAGACTGTGTCTCACTTACTGCTCCAATTATCGAATGTTGTCATACCCATATCCATTTCTATTCGCAATACTGGCTGAACACCCAGCAGATGTGAAGTGTGCGCTATCCAAGGGAGATGAGTAATACAAAACGCAGGCTGTGCTCAGAGAACAGTTCACAGTCTGAAAGAGGACCTCTGTGCACACACGCACTGGGCAGGTAACATGACACAGAGGAAGCCTGCATGGCGTGAGAAAAATCAGTGTCCAGAGAGCAAATGCAAAACACGGCAAGGGTGTTGGGCAGGGAAGGCTTCTGGCTAGAACTTGGCAGGGTGGCAGGCTCTGACCCTGCAGGAGTGGGAGGACGCAGAAGAGCATGCCTGATTCACAGGCTCTGACTGGAAAAGCAACCCCTCTAAGGTGGAGGATTTCAGGCACCAAAACCTAGCATAGTCGTTTTACTATGGAAGACCAGTGATTGTTTAGCCCCAGTCTTCACTATAGAGCTGAACAGAACCTTAGCCTAACAGTGTTAAGTTACTGCGTTTCTTCCATGCTAGTGAACAGACTGAGAAGACAGCTGGACTCTGGTTCAGTGGTCCTCTTTTTAATCCACAATGTCGCTTTGGATAGTTCTTAAAACTGTATAGGTCAGGTGAGTGGCACCGAACTTATTAGCAAGCATTTTATTTGTTCTTGTTTTAAGTCAAAAGCCATTAATGTAGGAGTGGTTTTCCGAAGCTGAAACCTCAGTATTCAGATGCAGTGCTGGCGCGCTGCAGTAAATGAAGGCGCTGAGCTGCAGTGTGGGCGCTCCTCTCTAAGAGGGTCATCAGTCACCTTGTTAGGGAGATAAGGCCGCATGTGCAAGGGCTTTGTTTCCCTAGAAGATTAAATTATTTTTGCAAGCTCTTGTTAGGTAAAGCAAAACTTGACAGTTCTCCTTAAGAGAGACATCTCTTTTTCTGTAATTTCTTGCCTGGATACTGAGCATAATTAAACTTTCTGTGGTATGTTTTCCTGCCTTGCTGTAATTCCTTCCTTGCAGGGGCCTTTTGCATTCCCGTGCCTTTTACTGCTTATCTTTTGTGAGGAGCACACACTGGGAGGACAACCTCTTGAGTGTGGCCAATTAATGCCCCTGGGGTCATGGATCCCATGGATTAATGCTGGGATTGGCAGGAATCCTCTGGCTCCTCCAGCCCCGTCGCCCCTCCAGCCTTAAGCCTCTTCCAAACAGTGGGGACCTGAATGGATAAACACAGTGTCCTGGAGAAGCTTAGTGCTTCTGTTGTGTACACATTCCTTCATTTTATTCAGCAGTTTTGGTGACTGAAATATCACATATATAATTTCCTAGCATAAAATTTTAACTAAGAATCTCATCTGGCAATGCAATAAGTGTAGAGATCAATAGGAATGTATCTATTAATACTCTGAAACAATGAAGTACTGTTCCACATGTCTGTTGCACAGACTGCTGGGGAATGGATGATCTGAATTTTTAAGGTATGTTATTCTGAAGGTTATTGCAAGGATTTTGGGTGGAGTTTCCCTTACTTTTCTTCCTCGGTAAGTGCAATAGAAGAACATAATTGAATCTTTCTTTGATAAGTGAGACTACTGCTAGGCTTCAGGGCTATCACTCAGAAAATCAATTCTCATTGTATAGCTTAAATACCCGGAAAATAGAAGAGATGGCACTGATTTCATACTGGCTCAGTTAATAACCCCAAAGTTATATGTTGGAAGAAACCCACTATAATACTTTTTATAGGGTGTCTTATTCTAACCTTACAACAAAAATGCCCAGTAATTGATGGTCCCATTTAGTTAAGTCAGTCGGTGTTTAAAGTACTTTCGGTCATTTTGCCAAGCACTAGAAATGTAGGTTTCTTTGTAGAAAAAAAGATAGAGTGCTTCAATAATTGTCATTTTGCGTGATATATAGTAAGAAAAAAACAGAATGCTAAAAATGTATATTTCCATGCTGTCAGGGTTTCCTTCTTTTAAATATGTGTCTGGTGTTACTTTTAAAGTAATCTGCACTTACTAAAAGAGTTAATTGTCGGGGCTGGTGAGATGGCTCAGTGGTCTAAAGCACCTACTTAGAACAAGCTTGGCAAAGCAAAGGGACCACGGTTCAATCCCCCAGCACCACATGCCAGCCAGCCCCGCCCCCTGGTGGACTGAGCTGGCCACACAAACACATAAATAAATTTAAAAAAAAAAAAAAGTTAAATTGTCACTCGAAATTTCCAATGTAACTTAGAAGGATGAGAATTTTCTTGTTTGATTTTATTTTTTATTTATTTACTTATTTATTTATTTCTTGACAGAACCAGGGATTGAACTCAGGCTCTTGTGCTTGCCAGGCAAGTACCTATTCTACTAAGCCATCTTCCCAGACTTCTTGTTTTATTTAAAAAAAAAAAAGAAAAATAAAGAATAAAAACAATAAAGAATAAAAACAATAAAATTTCCAAAGAAGATTGTGGGAGAGTGATGATGATTCATACATTGCATATTATTATCTTCAAAGTAGTTGCTCATCTGACAATATATGGCTGTGAAAAATTGATCAGACAATATAGGCATATACCATTCCTTTCAATAAGCTAATAAAAGTAGTATAACTATCTTAACTACTTTGTGTGCATGTATTTATTTATCTCTTTTTCCTTTTGTAGAATTTTTAAAGTAGTACCATTGGTTAAACAATTTTGCCAGTGTTCTTTCATTTGCTTTTCAATAAAAACAATTAAGTTGTGGTAGAACTATCAAGATTGAAAAAATGTATTTTATGAGATAGTTATTTAGTAGATACATTAAAAAAAAGACTTAGCCTGTCCTTGAAGTTTAATCACACTAATAAAACCTGCAAATAAACATATGAACAGATATATAAATGAAGAAAGGCTTGAGATCTAGTAATTTAGTTTCTGTCAATCTTCTAGGAGCTCACTACTGGTAGTTATGATTGTAGACACAAAGCTTCAGTAGAAGTCATCCCCTGAAAGAGACAGAAAGGCAAAGGCACAGAGACAGAGATCTGGAGAAGGCTCAGGCTATCTCTTCACTTCATTAAGTATACTAATAGATTCCATCATTTCTCTGCATCAAATATTTTGACAGTCCACTTTATTATTGCATTTGATCAATTACTAATTTTAGCATTGTATCTTAAAACATTCATTTATTAGATATAACATTGAAATTTATTAATTATAACATTAGTATATAATATATACTAATATAATCTCCTGATTTTCAAAATATATGCTAAGTTGTGTGTGTGTGTGTGTGTGTGTGTGTGTGCTCACATGTGTATCCTTTGTACGTTAAAATGTGTTTCAATAATTTTGAGCCACTGGGTCCTTTGTAATGATTTGATCATAGTTTTAAATATACTGTGACCTTTAAGACCCCTATCTAAAATTTAAACTTGGAAATTATAA